ACTGAAAATAATTGAATTTTTGTTGGGTATGTGTGGGTTTGTTTTTTTTTTTTTTGGTTTTTTTTTTGGGTTTTTTTTTTAAATATTTCTATAATTCTTTTCAGTGTTTCTCTTTATATAACTTACAACTAAATGGTCCCATGTCTTTTTTTTTTTTTTTTTTTTGAGAAAGATCCATTTTGCTGCTTCTTGAAGAAGTTCAGTGGAGCTTTTGATGATGAGACCAGAGATTACTGTTACTTCCTTATTTAAGATAATGTAGGGACCTCGGTGTGAGATGTTCCTGTTTATGTTTACATCTTATGTAATGAGTTCATTCATTCACCCAGTCAATAGTCCTGAGGTCTTTGTATACTTTCAAAGATTGCTATTTCTGCAGTCAAAGATGCGCTCTAAAATGAAGCATTAATTTAGTAACAGCAGAAAAGAACCTCCTCTGATTTACAGCTAAGAATACTGGGAGTGACAAGTTTATGAGTTTATGTTACTGAATGACTTTATTTAGTCTGTTCTTCCCATTGGCAAGAAGAATTCAGGGTTTATTTTATTAAATAACAATCCAGTCCATGTAAATAAGACTGTGTAGCTTGCTGTCCACATGTGGCTGTTTAAGCTTCAGTTATGTAAAATTGAATTAATAAAAAATAATAAAACCACTTAAATAAAAATAAGTAAAACAATCAGTCTGTCAGCTGTTTGGGGCCTATCTCAAGGGCTGTGGCTACCATATTTGACAGAACAGAAAGTTCTGCTAGAGAGCTGGCCTTGGGGTTTGTGAGTAATTTTCAGACACATTTTTTTACTTGATCCTCAAACACTATGGAATGGCACAGTGTACAGTGTTACTTAGGTATACAACCTTTTCTCATGTGGATGAGGAAACCAAGAAGATGAAGATTGTGCATTTTCATGCAGTTTAGCATACAGAACTTGGAGTGAAGTGATGGGAACAAAGGTAAATATAAGTGAATAAATTATTTTTAAATCCACCTTTGTATCTTCAACTGTAAGTTTCTTGAAGGCAGAGATATGGTCTAGCTTGATCATGAGTATGTCTCTGGTTTTATTATACTTCTTAAAATGTGAATGCTCCTATCAAAGGATTCATGGGCTATAATTAAAACTCTAGTTAGCAAAAGAAGAAAGATTATAAACAACTCTTTATCTTGCCTGTGATCTCAGAGATAGGAAGGGATACTTCCCTCCCTTACTCTTTGTTGATTCAACCATTTGGAAAGTTTGCAATAATTCTCTGAATCTGTAGGAACTGTTTCTTGGCAATAAGTATCTATAAAGTATTACTGTTGTTGTTGTTGAGTACTCTCACATAGCTGACCCTCTGGAGAGTTTTCAGAGGCAATTAATCACATGGGAAGAGCTTGCCCATCCTTCTCCCGAGGTGCAGCTGGGGGATTTGAACTGCATCCATTTGGAATTGCAGCACAAGTTCTTACCAGTAGGCCACCAGAGCAAACACTTACTTTGCATAGTTCTTCCTGCTGTCTCTGTGTGTGTGTGTGTATAAGCACACATGGACCTAAACTAGAATGTTTCGAATTCACATGTGGGCATGAAAATACAATGAAGGTAGTCAATAATCATATGTACAGTCTCCTAGAAGAGTAATTCCTGGTTTATTTTGCAATGGCATTTAAAATGATACATCTCAGTTATGTTTCCCTCGGGCTTGAGAACCCATCTGACATCATGGTAAGAATAAAATGGGCGCAAGCATAACCTTTGTTTTCTTTTTTGAAAGGAAAATGGAATAAAATACTGAGTAATTATGTATTATCAAGATGATGTAAGATAGATTTTGTAGTATATAACTGTAAACCAGCTCTTTATAATATGTAACACTAATACAGTGTACTGCTTTTTGCCAAGAAGCAAATAGATTACCTATAGAAGTGTCAGATGTTGTCCTCACTGTTAAATGAGATCCTTGAGTTTTGTTTATTTGTTTCTGTGGTTTGGGAAAGAGTGGTCAGTAGTATAAAAACCACTCCTCAGCATCATTTATGTCTCTAGCCACTAAAAGAATCGTAAATAAAGGATTTGGATGATTTTCTGTGGGTTAAAAAACAAAACTTTGAGACACATGACAACCACCGATTTAAGAGACTTAATGTGATTTCCCTGGTAGCTTAGTTTATATGAAACAAAATATTTGCTGGCTTTTCTTTCTTTCTTTTTTAATACAATAGTATTAAATGGTATTCTCTGATTGTGGTCATTTTTAACCTGGATATTTTGACCCTTAAAGTTGTTGTCTGGTTTTGGAAGAGATAGTGTGATGTTTAGTAGTAGTGTGAATTCATTTCACAATTTCGTGTAGGATTTCTTAAGAGTATCTGTCCTTCTCATTTTACTCTTTTATTGTTGGTATTGAGCATGAGACTTAACAGTTGCAAAACTAAAGACACAGTGAAGAGGTGCCTTGTTTTCTCGGGATCCCTGCTCGACAAGGAGAAGATCAGAATATTTTATGTTTGGGAAGCTTGACAATTATATAGCAAAGTCATTGTTAAATCAGAGTGAATGCATGTCTCTAGATTCTGACAAACTGGCTTGCTTTGCCTGTTAGAGAAGAAGGGGATTCTTTAGGATGTACCCTCCTTTTTGGATTCATATGTAGTTAAGTTCCTGAGTTGATGACATCACATCAAAATGTTTATTGAAGTTAAGATTTTGTCCCACGTCTAGCCAATTGGGAAAATACACACACACACACGTTGTAATTTAGTATGTGTTGCATGTCCGTGAAAGTCTTAGTTATTTTAATCACTTAAGGTTGTATCTTTGAATGGTGTGGCTTTTACATCTTGAACACTAGTGATTGATTATTGGGTGTCCTGTTCTTTACTCTCTGGATGGACAGTGCAGAGTTATTTACAGATTGAAATCTGTGTACTTACAGTAGTGAAAGTAGATCTGAAGAAAAACATTACCATTTTTCAATTAAGCACTGTTGGAGACCTCCATCAATGATCTTAGTGTACAGTTAGACATGAGTTATTTATGTCTTATGCGTATTTTCTTGGACTGTACTGTGGGGAATAATTTGAAAAAAATTTTCCAAGTTGAGGAAGTTTTTGACCAGAAGGGTTATGAAACTTGACTAAGGTGACACCCTCCCTTTAAGTGACAGAAGGAACACTTCATTCTCAGCCTTGTACAATAGAAATGCCAACATATTTGTCAGTTCACTGAAAGAATAGTGTTTGCATTTCAAGTAGATCCTTTAAAATGATTTTTTGAGATGCCGGAGACTTTTCTCATGAAGTGATTTGGATATGAGCAGCGATCACACGTGTCATTTTTGAGCAGCTGTTGAAAAAGGCAGAACATGATTATGCCACTTGCTTAATGTATTACATCTGGTTGCTGGAAAAGTTTTTTTTTTAAATTTCTCTGTTAGTTGGGAGATGAAATTGCATTTTGGAGCTTTTGAGTCAGAAACTTTGCTGTAAGTCATGTATTTCTGCAGTTTCATGGGGACATTTAGTTAGGTCTATAGGGAGCTCTGGTGGCCTAGGGGCAAGAAGCTGCGCTACAATCCCAAAGGCCTGCAGTTCGAGGCCACCACCAGCTGCTCTGAGGGAGAAGGTTGGGCAATCTCCTCCCGTGCCATTAACTGCCTCTGAAAACCCTCCGGAGGGTCAGCTATTGGTCGGTTCAGACTCGAGGGTAAACAACAACATTGAGGTATGGAAGAGAGTCGGAGTAGTTTTTGAATAGCCCAATGTCTTAATTTCCTAGTGCTGCTACAACAAAAGCCTCAAGTGTGTGCTTTTAAGAAACAGAAACTTACTTTCTTGCATTTTTAGAGACCAGCAGTGCAAGGTTAGGACGCTGGGTGTGAAGAAGGTTTTCTCTATGCCAGCTTCAGGTTCTCGTCTCCTCTTTTTCCCTGCTCTCTGAGCCCTCGGCAGCTTCTTGTGCGTCTGTGCCTTCCAGTTCGGGCACACCTTCTCTGTGCCTGCTTTGCTCTTGTTTTAGATCTCCAAGGTGACTGATTGGCTTGAAACAAATTTACAGGAGCACAGGCTTCCTAACATAACAAAGAACGTCTTAGTCCTAAATCTGCAGGTATGGGACTTGAGAATTTACAAAAACATATTTTGGGGGAGACACAGTTCTATTCATAACACTGATACTGTATATGGTCACACTAGGGGGAAAAAAGACAGAGTGGTGGCATGGATTATTTTACGTAAACTTTTGAACATCATGTACTTCTCGTAAACGAAGGTTGTTAGGCCCTTTGCTACAAAAAGGAACCTTAATCAGATCAGACCCTTTCAGTTTTTCCATTTATTTTACAATGGGAAACATTTTCAGCTGGCCACGTTGTTCCCCCTTCATCAACATTTCCTGCCCACTTCATTTTATTTTTAGTTTTCTCATGATTGCAAGAACTTCCACTCAAAGGCATTTTGAGAGGCCATTTTAATGCCTTTTACCCAAAGGTTTTAATATCTCCTCGCTGCCTGCAACCTTATTGCTGTAGGAACTGAATGGAAGATTTCTGTGGAGAAAGTCTGCACTGAGGAAGCCTTGAGCAATTGACTGTGGTTTTGATAGCAACCTTTAAGCTTTGTCAAAAGAAGTCCCACGTGATTTAGATGCCTAGAGAAGAATGGGATTCAGAGGAGGAAACAGTAAATCCTACTCAGTTGCCTTTTTTTTAAAGAGTACATATTATTAAATCTCTTGAATTAGTTATGGTGCTTTCATTACTTCTTCTGTTACTTTGGTCTAAAATAGTTAGCTTTATGAACCTCTCAGAGTGGATATGGCGAGCTGAGTGGGAATTTTACTTGGCTCTGATTATTCAAGTGATTTCTTAATAAGTCCTATTTGGGTTTTTCTTAAATGTAGAGTATCTGGCATATCTCAAATCCCTTTTCCCCTGAGAATTCTTTGAGTTACCAGCATGTTTAAAGTAATGTACATTTGTTTTTTGTTTTTTTTTTTTTTTTTTTTAATTGCACCAGGTCACTTCTGGTGGGACCTTCATTGGCATTGGTCGGAAAACCCCAGATTGCCAAGGCAACACCAAGTACTTTCGCTGTAAATTCTGCAACTTCACGTACATGGGCAACTCGTCCGCTGAACTAGAACAACATTTTCTGCAGACTCACCCGAACAAAATCAAGGCTTCTCTCCCCTCCTCTGAGGGGGCGAAACCTACGGAGAAGAACTCTAACAAGTCCAGCCTGACCCTTCGTTCCAGCGATTCTGGAGACTTGGGGAAGTGGCAGGACAAGATCACGGTCAAGGCCGGGGATGACACTCCCGTTGGCTACTCAGTGCCCATCAAGCCCCTCGAGTCCTCGAGACAGAATGGCACTGACACCACCAGTTACTACTGGTGTAAGTTTTGTAGTTTCAGCTGTGAGTCGTCTAGCTCCGTGAAACTGCTAGAACATTATGGCAAACAGCATGGCGGAGCACCGCCAGGCAGCCTTAATCTAGAACTGAATGATAAGCTTTCTCGGGGCTCTGTCATTAATCAGAACGATCTCGCCAAAAGTGCAGAAGGGGAGCCCGTGTCCAAGGCAGACAAGGGCTCCAGTGGGGCGAAGAAGAAGGACTTCTCCAGCAAGGGAGCCGAGGACAACATGGTGACCAGCTACAATTGTCAGTTCTGCGACTTCAGATACTCTAAAAGCCATGGCCCTGATGTCATTGTAGTGGGGCCACTTCTCCGTCACTATCAACAGCTTCATAACATTCACAAGTGTACCATTAAGCACTGTCCATTCTGTCCCCGAGGCCTTTGCAGCCCGGAAAAGCACCTTGGAGAAATTACTTATCCGTTTGCTTGTAGAAAAAGTAATTGTTCCCACTGTGCACTCCTGCTTTTGCACTTGTCCCCCGGGGCGGCCGGAAGCTCCAGAGTCAAACACCAGTGCCACCAGTGCTCCTTCTCCACCCCCGACGTCGATGTCCTCCTCTTCCATTACGAGAGTGTGCACGAGTCACAAGCCTCAGAGGTCAAACAAGAGGCAACTCACCTGCAGGGGTCAGAGGGGCAGCCGACTGTTAAGGAGAGCAAAGAACACACGTGTACCAAATGTGATTTTATTACCCAGGTGGAAGATGAGATTTCTCGACACTACAGGTAAGCTGTCCCAGGGAAGGTAAAGTGGAAACTGAAGGAAGATACAGATCTTAATTAAATGATTGTTGAAAATGATTGGGTGCTTTGAGGACGTAATAGAGCAAAATAATAGAAAAGAGCGTGCATGTAATTGCAGTTTAGCTACAATTGATAGCTACTGATTTTCCTTTGACCACTTGCCTTGGACGGTTTCTGGTGGCCTAGTGGTCAAAAGCAGGACATTATGCTGAGTGAATTATCTCAGTCACAAAAGGACAAATATTGCATAGCACCACTGTTATAAAGCAGGTCTGACATGAGGGTTTGGGAGGGAAATAGGATAAGAGTGGATAGAGAATGAACATTGCACTGGAATAGATGAAGGAAAGAACTGTTTAAAAGGAGTTTATGGTTAGGCATTATATGCATGACAGTAGCCCAGAATAAGAGGTATATTGCAAAGAAGACTTGGAGGAGGGCGAGGAGAGAGGTAACTGGGCAACAATGAATGAATATTTTAAAAAACATACAAGTGAACTGGTTGAGGGAGAAGGGGTAAAAATGTATAACAATAAATGAATGAAAATCTAACTTTTATGTAAACTTTCATTAAAATAATAATGAAAAATATTTTATTAAAAACCGATCCAAATAAATTGGCAAAACCCCCCACCCAAACGCAGTGCTGTAATCCCAGAGGTGTGCAGTTGGAATCCACCAGCTGCTCCATGGGACACAGGTGGGCATTCCCCTCCCTGGTGATTGGCTGCCTCTGAAAAGGTGCTGACGGGTCAGGTAGGAGTTGGTTCCTACTCGGTGGCACACAACAACGACAGCAGCAACCATCTGTTCTAGATCATTCACTCAGTGCACTTGTAAATTCTCCATGATCTTGACCATGCTGACGAGCCTCAGTTTATCCTTTACTTTTTCCCTGTAAGTATGACTCCATATCCCAGTTCCCTATTCTGACTGTTTCTACTGGGAATCAGTCAGTTGAGAATATATTGCTCATTATCCTTTTTGAAATGAAATTATCTTTTAACTGTAAAAAAAAAAATTCTCCAGCATCTTTACTTCATATCTAAACAATAATCCAAAGGTGAGTGTATTGGTAATTTATCTTTGCGTTTCTCTATCTGAATCATAGCTAGAGCTTGAGTGAGTCTTTCCCCTCCGCTGTTTCCCCTTGCTGTGTTGTCTTTGTTCTTGTTATTGAATACCACTAAGAGAGAACCAATTCATAGGTGACCCTCTGGCAGATTTTTAGAGGCAGTTAATCGCACAGGAGGAGATTGCCCATCCTTCTCCCATGGAGCATCTGGTTTTTTGAACCACATGCCCTTGGAATTGTAGTGCAGCTTCTTGCCACTAGGCTACCAGAGAGCTCCTTACACTGTCTTCATAAACATCCGTTTTCCTGGGTAATTTGTAGTAGATTTAAGAGATTTGTTTAAGATACCCAAACTGAACCCACTACCATCAAGTTGATTTCAGCTCATCACAACCATCTGTGGGCTCTGTAAATCTCTGCAGGAGATTTTTTCTATTGAGGGGCACCTGGTGGATTTGAACCACAGACCTGTATTTAGGATAGCAGCACAACCCCTAATGTACTGTGAAGTCAGAGCACTTTTCGTTTTTGCTATGTGACTTTATTTCATTCATGTTACCATTCTTTGAACTAATTTTAAAAAGTGCACTGTGTCGTGTATTGAAGATACAGGAGAACAAGATGATATCGGTGCCCTCCCAGAAGTTGAGTTTAGTGAGGATGGCACACATTTAGCAGATCATGATCAGAAAGATGAAGATGAAAGATGAAGAAGGCGGTGGTACTGTGGTTGCATCTAATGACAGCCTGGCCCTAATCTGGTGGATTAGGAGTTGCCTCCCTGGGGAAGAAGCATGTAGAGAGAGGTTTGTGGTCTCTATAGGGTATGAGTGTGTGAAGAGTTTGCTCAGAGTTTACTGGATTGCATGCTATCTTGTTCAAATGCCCCTAAGAATCATATCACTCTACTATTTTAAAGTACTTTTCTATATGTAGTTTCAATATCCAGAGAGCCTTGGTGGCACATTAATTACTTGGCTGCTAACCAAAAGGTCAACAGTTCAAACTCACTAGCTGCTCCCTGGGTGAAAGGGCAGTGTGCTTCCTTAATGATTTATAGCCTCTTGGAAGGTCACGGTGAGTTAGAATTGCACTGGAAATGCTGGCATTTTCAGTCTCCTGATTTTAAATCTAGTCATTTCACTTTTCATATATGTAGTTTTGAAACATTCCCCCCATTCTCTTTAAACATTGTGTTATAGGGCAAATATGTGTGTCTGTTTGTTGTCAGTCAGCTGTCATGAAGCAAGTTCATGTCTAACAATAGTCTAATAATATTAGATGTTAATTTGAAGGGCATCCTAATGTTCACAGTGAATCAGAATGTTCAGAAAACACTTGAGATTTACACTGTGTAATTTATAAGGTCAGGCCCAGGAAAGACACCGTCCTGCAATCAAATATGTGTTCACACTTGCAGTGAGTGTTTCTGGCTCCTCTGATGTCAGCTGCATGTTAATTTATCTCTGAGGCCAGTAGACATTAGTTTCTCTCAGAGCTCGGCAGGCGTGCATGTGTGAATATGTACATATTGTACGCACACATTTGCTAGATGATGTCAAAATTAGATAATCGTTTTTTTTTAGAGGCATCTTTCTTTTATGAGAAAATTAGCACAGACACGTGCACACACACAAGAGATACGTACTTAGTAGATTATTTGGGCAAATGAGAACACTAAGAGCATTGCTTAAGAATGTGTCTGGTAAAACACTTTCAGCACGCTTTTAGTAAAAAAAAATATATTTTCTCAATATTTAAGTAAAAAGTATAAGAGCTGCAGTGCAATGCTGAAGGCACGATCTTCAAGGCCACCAGCTGCTTTGCTGGAGAAGGATGGGCCACCTCTTCCAGTGCGATTAACTGCTTATGAAAACCCCACCAGGGGGTCAGCTATGGGTCAGTTCCATCTCAGTGGTACACAACAACAACAACATATGCGTATGGTCACATACATACAATTTTAACAGTAACAAAACAAAATATGTTAAAGTAAAGCTACTTTTCATATTCTCCTTTCTTCTGATCTTTTGTGATTTTGAGTATCCATAAAAATATGTTCACTGTAAAAAAATTCAGAAATGTAGACTATGGACAAAGTCATTTTTCGTAATTTTAGTCTCTCTTCATGCATATGTTTGCATACTTGTATTTGTAATACACATATTAAATAATAAACAGATTTTATACTGCTATTTGGTTATATTCTGCCAAACCTTGAAATGTTGCCTGAAAAACGAAACTTACTGAGACTCACCATAGAAAATTGAAAATAGAGGCTACATTGAATTTTTTTTTTAATCCCTGATAGAGAAGTAGTCTGATAGTGTGGTACATGGCTG